AATAAATTCGGCAAAGTCTCAGGTTACAAAAACAATGTACACAAATCAGTAGCATTCCTATACACCAACAGTCAAGCTGAGAATCAAATCAAAGACTCAATGCTTTTCACAATAGCAACAAAGAAAATAAAATACCTAGGAATATATTTAACCAAAGAGGTGAAAGACCTCTACAAGGAGAAGTATGAATCACTGAGGAAGGAAATTGCAGAGGATGTAAACAAATGGAAAAACATATCATGCTTATGGATCAGCAGAATCAACATTGGTAAAATGTCTATACTACCCAAAGTGATTTACAGATTTAATGCAATCCCCATTAAAATACCATGTCATTTTTCACAGATCTAGAAAAATAATTCTACACTTTGTATGGAACCAGAAAAGACCCTGAATAGCCAAAGCAACCTTAAGCAAAAAGAACAAATTGGGAGGCATCACTTTATCAGACCTCAAGCTATGCTACAAGGCTATAGTAACCAAAACATCATGGTACTGGCACAAGAACAGAGGCATAGACCAATGGATCAGAACAGAGAACCCAGATATAAAACCATCCTCATATTGCCATCTGATCTTTGACAAAGCAGACAACATACAAAGGGAAAAAGAATCCCTATTCAATAAATGGTGCTGGGAAAATTGGATAGCCACTTGTAGAAGACTAAGACAGGATCCTCAACTCTCACCACTCATGATGAGATAACAGACTAACCCATAATTTATGGTGGATAACAGACTTAAACTTAAGGTATAAAACTATAAGAATTCTAGAAGAAGAAGCTAGAAAAAGTCTAATAGATATTGGTGTAGGCAAAGAATTTATGAAGAAGACCCCAAAGGCAATCACAGCAACAACAAAAATAAATAAATGGGACCTGATTAAATTAAAAGGCTTCTGCACAGCCAAGGACACAATCAATAGAGTGAATAGACAACTTACAGAATGGGAGAAAATATTTGCATGTTATATATCCAATAAAGAGCTAGTAATAAGAATCTACAAAGAACTCAAGCAAATCAGCAAGAAAACATCAAACAACCCCATTAAAAATTGGGCAAAAGACATGAACAGAAGCTTTTCAAAAGAAGATAGACTAATGGTCAATAAACATATGAAAAAATGCTCAACATCTCTAATTATCAGGAAAATGCAAATCAAAACCACAATGAGATATTACCTAACTCCAGTGAGAATGGTTTTTATCAAAAAGTCCCAAAACAACAGATGCTGGCATTGATGTGGAGGGAAATGAACACTTATACACTGTTGGTGAGACTGAAAATTAATTCAGTCTCTATAGAAAGTAGTATGGCGATACCTCAAAGAACTAAAAGTAGAATTACCATTTGATCTAGCAATCCCCTTACTGGGTATTTACCCAAAGGAAAAAAAGACATAAAAAGGACACTTGCACTCGAATATTTATAGCAGCAAAATTCACAATTGAAAAGATTTGGAAACAACCCAAGTGGTCATCAATACATGAGTTGGTTAATAAAATATGGTATATGTATACCATGGAGTACTACTCAGCCATGCAAAAATGGTGAACTAATACCTCTTATATAACCTAGAGGGAGCTGGAGACCATTCATCTAAATGAAGTATTGCAAGAATGGAAAAACAAACACCACATGTACTCACCATTAAATTGGAACTAATCAATCAACATTTACATGCACATATGGAAATAACACTCATCAGAAATCAAACAGGTGGGAATGGGGAGGAGGGGATGGGTAAATTCACACCTAATGGGTATGATGCACACTATCTAGGTAATGGGCACACTTATAACTTTGACTCAAACTATACAAAAGTAATTCATGTAATCAAAGCATTTATACACCCATAATATTCTGAAATTTTTAAAAAAGAAAGAAAATAAGGATATTGCACATTATGACGAAATTTTAGAAGGCAATTTTTTTTAGCTTTGGCATTTTACCTAGAGATTTCCACCTCAATAGTGAAGTCTTTGCTGTTATTTTGAGTCAAAGACTTTGAGGTTTAAGTAGAAATAGTCAATGGTCTTGATTCTAAATTATTCTAGACAAGGTCCAGAGGTGAAACGTGACTGATTCTGTCCATAGCTCCAGTTTCTGCCTGAGATCTAATCCAGGATTAACTAACAGACAGTGAGTGGCTTTGGAGCAAGTCTCACAGACTACTCCTACCCCAATATCATTGTCTATAAAATGGGGACACATAGATAGTGGTCACAGCTTTGGAGAAGGGCAAGGAAGTAGGCTTTAGGAAATTTTAGAGAATTTTGTAACGTTTATAAAACTAATAGCCCACTAATCTGTGGGGAAAAGCTCATTCAATTGTGCCTTTGACAAATATTGCTGAGTGCACCCAGACTTTCTGCTGGGTGTGAGAATACAGGGATGAATGGGACAGTCTTAACCCTCACAGAGTAGCTCAAGGACTTATAAGAGAGTCAGACGTGTGAATGGGTGAATTATGAAATAATATGGAATCCACAAGTTCTGTGGGGTCTCACAGGACTGCTGGCAAAGTCAGACTGCATTGAGGAGGGGGTGCCATCACCAATCTGAAAAACGGAAGAGATTTATTCTGACCCTTTGGAACTCTGGTTTCCCCGACTCCTCCCTCACCACCATATTAGCTGAGCCCCTCTGCCAGCCACAAGTGTCAGGACTGGAGATGGTGACATACAACAAGCCGTCCCTGCCTTCCATCTGCTCAGTTTGGAAAGGAAGACCAACATGTAATCAAATCATCACAGTGCAGTAGGGTAGGCAATAGAATAGGGGTGGAAGAGATTTCATCTTTTGATTCACGGATTACCACCCAGTCAGCAAGCTGGGTTTAGTATTGCCACAACCACACCCACCACCAACCTTCTTACAAAAACGCTGGTTTGCTTCCATATTTAATTAATATTTTAATTAAGCCTCATCTCCTCCCTGTGCTAATATTTTTCCATTTGCAAAGCAGTTAAAGCTGTTTATTTCCAAAATGTGTTTGTTTCCTTTTTAGTATGAGGAAAGCAGTATAAAAATGATGTATATACTTTAAAAAAAACCCTAACCTACTTGTATTTTCCAATGATTAAAGTGACAATGAGATTTACGGTGTTGAGGGTGAAGAGAGAGAAACTCAATAAATGAATGCTTGATCTTTTTTACTTTCAGAAGTCTCTCAATATGGGTGTGTGTGTGTATGTGTGTGTTTGTGTGTAACACACACACACGTATATACACACACATAACTTATAACCCAATCCTAAGAAAAAGAATGTATTGCACATAAGATTTCAAAAATGGAGGAGTTCCATAAGACTGATAAACAAATCATCCATTCTTTACATATGTGGTATATACTGAAATGTCAGAAACTCTTCTAGTTATAAGAAGAAGCAGTTATTCAAAAAGCAGTTGGCTATTAGTTTTCAATCTTGTTTGCTTGAATAACATTCAGAGATATTGGTCCCCTGAATGATGTTATAAAACTTAAATGAGGATTGGTGATGGTTTTTCCACTGAGGACAGAAAAGTAAGTTCAGGGACTCTCTGACATAGCCAGTACCCTGGTCCAGGAAAGCTGCCTGGGCCCCGATGGCAGTGTTCGTTGTTCATAACTGGCACCAACACCTGGAGAGATATTCCAGGCCACTCTTCCTCTGGAAGAAGACGAGGCTTCCTGGAGCTGAGGCTGGGAAAATTCTTGGCCATTGCCCCAAGCAAACTCCCAAATTAAGAGCCAGACCACAAGCCTTTGAGATCTAGGAGGCAAACGGAATTGGGACAGCTTGCCCTTCTCTTTTTCACATCTGAAAAATCATTCCAAAAATCACAGTAAAACATAATGTGGTTACCCTTTTCTTTGGAAATATTGTCTTAGAATGATGGAAAAAATACTCAAAAAACAAAGGCAAGCAGCCTACTGAAATCAAGTGGGTGGAGTGTCTATGGCCGAGACTGGCTGTTGCAGGGCTTTCTACGGCCTTTGGGAAAATAAAGATCTGTGATGGCAATTATGTCGCAAATACACGCAGCAGAGAAAGTCCACATTGCCACACAGTGCTACATTTTTTTATTATTTTCACTAAAACAGACTAACATTCTTACAAATATTCTTTTCCTTTGGGTGTTGCTGCTTAGTACTTGTTTTGTACGGCAGAGTCTATTGTTCCATGTTTCATAGAAACATATGTACTTCTGGAAAGTACGGCATTGAGAAGTTCTGAAAGATTTTTCTCTTTATATTTAGGAAATTAGTCTCACTTTATAGTCTACAGATCAAGGTCAGTCTCTTTGCATAGGTTCTAGAGAATAGTTTCTTATTTTGAGTCTCCTTACTTTTTTAAGTTTCAATAGTTGTACAATAGGTAATACACATTTGGGAAAGTCTTTATCCACTCTAAAATTTTAAAATTGTACTTGGTACCTATCAGTTATACCATGTCTGCTTCTAGGAAGGAGCTGAGGAAGCTAACAATGAAGTCCCATTATAAGAAGAATAAGAGATTAGGAGTGAATTGAAGGCAAGAGGGAGAAAGATAGTTATAGCAAGAATGTCAGATAATGGTTTTCTTTGCGCAGAAAGCTTGGCGCCCAGCTTTCTCAACAAAAGGAAACATAATAGACCTTGGTAAATGTAAATGCTTTTTTTCCCTACATTCTAAAATTGGGCTATCCCAATAAGAAATATCATTTCCTCCACTTGGAAGACTAATATGTAATTGTTTATATGTCAGGGTCTGGGTTTTAACAACTTTTGTGCGTGCTGATCAATTTAAATGGTGAATATTAGGCAAAATCAATATGTTTTGAACCAATAAACAAGGAGCGAGACCACAGGGAACATTTCTTTGCATGATGATGTAGGCATCTTATCACTGCAACACATAAGGTCAAAGTCAAGAAGATTTAGGAATTCATGAGATTCTTATATTTTATTGAATTAACAATCTTTGACATCAAACCTTTACAAGACATTAACATTTAAATGTTATGCTTATCCCTAGTGCTACCAGTGGTTGAAAGAAAGAATTGTAAGCGAAGAAGGGAGAAAACAGCAAAACAAGCTAAAAGACCTTTCCCCAATTGCTGAGCGTCTGGGATGCACACTACCTCAGCTAGCCGTTGGTAAGGAAATTACTAAGGGGAGGGGAACTTCTGCTGAGATCACAGAAAATACAGTTTTCTATTGCTGCCCCCCCCATCATGATAAAATGTCTATTGTAGGGATAGACTGATCTCTAAAGCAAAAAAAAATAAAAATAAAATTTCTGGTAAATACTATATAAAGTGAATTATTTGGGGTTCCCCAGAATTTTTTACATGCTAAAAGACTTTTCTTACTTCCTTCCTATCTCTCTTATAATCGTTTAAATGAGAACATTTCAGTGATAATGCACACACCCTCACAAGTATCCAGGGTAAATTGAATAGCGATATCCATTTCTTCTGGTGCAAGTTTCTGTCTGTGTTGAAGCTAAGCCAGGGTTGGTGAGAGGCTGAGATAAAGGGCTGTAACAGAGGCCCAAGGCTACAGCCACCCAGAAAGTCCATCCTAGAAGAGTTGCTTCACCCTGAAGCTTCATGAGGGCCATAAAAATTGCTCTTCTAACATTGTGGAGTCCAAAGCTCATGGTCACCGGTAGCAAATGAAAACTACATGCACTGCACTGTTCAGGAGAAAGTTGGTGTGAACCACATACAGTCGTGGGCTGCATAATGAGCTTACAGTCAATGATGGACCACATATACGTTGGAGGCTCCATAAAATTGTAACGCAGCTGAAAAATTCCTGTTGCCTAGTGACGCTGCAGTCATATTAAAGTCCTAGCACAACACATCACTCACACGTTTGTGGTGATTCTGGTGTAAAAAAACCCAATGCACTGCCAGTCATATAAAAGTCTAGCGCATACAATTACATACAGTTCAAAATACTGGACAATGATGACAAACAACCATGTTACTGGTTTATGTATTTACTACACTTTTTGTCATTATTTTAGAGTGTACTCCTTCTACTTATTAAAAAAAACAAATTAACTGTAAAACAGGCTCAAGCAGGTCCATACTTGAGGAATACTAGCAGGAATACTCAAGAGGTATTCCGGAAGGCATTGGTATCATAGGAGATGGCAGCTCCATGCTACTACGCCTGAAGAACTTCTAGTGGGACCGGACGTGGAGGCGGAAGGCAGTGATATCGATGATCCTGACTCTGTGTGGGCCTAGGCTAATGTGTGTTTGTGTCCTAGTCTTTAACAAAAAAGTTGTAAAAGTTTAAAAAAACTTATAAAAATAGGAAAATGCTTATAGAATAAGGATATAAAGAAAATTTTTTTATATAGTTGTACAATGCATTTGTTGTTTTAAGCTAAGCGTTATTACAAGAGCCAAAACGTTTTTTTAAAAATTCAAAAGCTTATAAAACAAAAAAGTTACAGCAAGCCTAGGTTAATTTATTATAGAGGAAAGAAATTTTTTTTATAAATTTAGTGTAGCCCAAGTGTTCAGGGTTTCTAAAGTCTACAGTAGTGCACAGTGATGTCCTGGGCCTTCACGTCCACTCACCACGCACTCGCTGGCTCACCCAGAGCAACGTCCAGTCCTGCAAGCTCCATTCGTGGTGAGTGCCCTACACGGGTGTGCCATTTTTTGTCTTTTATACTGTATTTTTACTGTATCCTTTTTATGCTTAGATATATGTTTAGATACACAAATACCACGTATTACAACTGCCTGCAGTATTCAGTGCAGTAACACTGTCCAGGGTGATGGCCCAGGAGCAATAGGCTGTACCACAGAACCTAGGTGTACAGTAAGCTGTACCATCCAGGTTAGTGTCAGTGCACTCTATGTTCACACAATCAGAAAATCACCTAACAATGCATTTCTCAGAATGTATCCCTGTAATTAAGCAACACATGACTGTATTTGATTTTAAATTTTCCAGTGGCCACATTAAAAAATTTTTAAAACAGTTGAAATTAATTTTAATAATGGATGTTATTTAACCGAATATGGCCAAAATATAACTTCAACATGTAATAAATATGAAAAATTATTGAGATATTTTATCCTATTTTCTTTCTACTAAGTCTTCAAAATCCAAGATATATTTTACATGTACAGCACATGTCAATTCAGGCTAGACACACCTTGCATGCTCAATAGCCACATGTGGCCAGAGGCTACCTACGGGACAGAAAAGCATTTAGACTCTCAGTTCCCTTGCTGGGATGTTTTCAGCCTCTGTGATAAGCACTCCATGCTCATGGTGTTGTCTCCTTGATCGAAACAATACTGTGAAGTGTGTACTGTTACTAGCCCTGTCTTACAGATGTTAATGGAGGATTTGCTATTACTATCTCCACTTATAAATGGAGAAATTGAAGATAAAAGAATTCACGTGGTAGCTGTGAGAAAGGAAAAAATGTGTGCTGATTCTAGAAAAAAATTCCTCAGGATTAAGAAATAGCAGGAATTGGGATATATCAGATACAGTGAACCCATGATATAAAAGCTCAAGATAAGGTCTATGCAAATAAAATAATTTAGTAGAATATTTGTTGGTAGCTTGACCCTTTCGAGGTTGGAAGGCAAGGAAATGTTAGTGGCAGTTAACAGTCACAGAAAGATGGAAATGGAAGATGGTTTTAGAGGGGGGGAAATGTCATGTACTAAGTATATGTATGACTGTCACTTTAATCCTTTCTTCAGAAAAAAATCAAAGAATATATTTAATGTGATTAATTATTAATAGCATCCCTACAGCTTTAACAAGCACAGTAAAAAATAACTATTTGGCCATAGGCAAGTTACTTAATCAGATAATTTTTTCATCTGTAAAATGGGTCTAATAATACATATCTTACAAACTTATTAAGTAAAGGGAAATTACATATGTAAAGTGTTAAAAGTAAGTGCTCAGTAAGTAGTAATGACAACAATGATGATAATGATGTTTCTGCAAAAAATTAGACATGCCAGACCTGAAATTCTGCCCACACTCACCCAGAGCATGTGGTCAGAGTAATATGCACAGAGAAACACACGTTCTGCACACTCATAAATATAGTTTTTCGGTGCTAACATGAAATTGAGTATTAAATTAGCTCTGAAAGAGATAGAGTAACATTGTCTTTCTGGAGGGGAAACCTTTACAAGATACAGACTTTGACTGGATGTGCCCTACTCCCACGATTCAAATGCAGATTCTATCAAATCTTTTACACAATAGGGGGCGCTGCTCAGGTTTTTAATCCTAGAAAACACTGCATCTTCCACAGAGTTAAAAAAAAACTTTGGCTGCCACTAACAGCTGTAGCTGGTGTTTAGAAGCTAATCAGTAATGAGAAGTGCTTTGACACCCTGACCCCGTGTTCTTTCTTCCCAGCGTGGTGCCTGAGAAACGAAGGTGTGAGTTCTGTGCTCCTGGGATCATCTACTCCTGAACAGCTCATTGAAAACCTTGGCGCCATTCAGGCAAGTACCACAGCCCTTTCCGACAAACACCAGAGAATGTCATGGTGCCTTTGAAGATATCTCCAAGCAGTGTCCCATCTCTCCCCACCTCTGTCCTTCAGGATGGGTTTGAGGGGAGGGGGAACAAAAGCCTAAGAAGCAACGGAAAACGTTCACAGTAGATAGATCCAGATAATAACAGGCAATGTTCCCAGAGCTCACTTCTCAGGACGATTTGTTTCTGTGGGGCAGGGCATTCCAGTGTTATACCTGGCAACCAACTCCCCCAGCCTGACCATAAATGTCTGCTTAATAACTTGCATGAAACGTAATAGTCTTTGGACAATACACATACATCATTTACTCACTTTTTCTTTCCACGAATATTGATTGCCAACTTACTATGTGCCAAGCCCCTTTTATGAATGCCACCCCACTTTCTCTTGTTTTCACTTATGCTGTGGGAAAAGATAAGGCTACACAGTAATGATGAGGAGAGAGGGAAGAGTTGGTACACAAAAGAACTGAAATTCAATCCAATGATTTCAATTCCACCAATATTTACGGAGTCCTCTTCCATGGCTGTCGGCAGTGGGAGTACTAAGATGAGTAAGAACAGGACCCTGCCTTCAAAGAGCTCATGGGCTGGCTGAGAAAAGTGAATTAAGAACTCTATCCCTTAATTCATTCAGCAGATCTCTGAGTGCCTACTATGTACCAGGCACTGGAGGTACCACAGGAAACAAGAAAGACATTGTCCAACCTTCAAGGGGTTTACATTTCAGTAGGAGACAGATAAACAAACAGACAAAATAATCTCAGATTGTGAAAACGGCTATTACGTGAATAAACAGGATGTTGTAATAGACTAATTGAGAATGGGTGGGCCTATTTTAAATAACATCCTTGCAAAAGACCCCCCTGGAATATGTTTATTCTGAGGCCTTCACAATTACTCACGTGCCTTCACACAGCCTGGGAAGAAGGAAAGCACATTCCAGGCACAGGAAAAGCAGTGCAAAGGCGCTGAAAGGGGAAGCAACTTCCAGCCTCAGGCCAGTGTGCCCAACATGTGGCAGGCAAAGGGGCCAGCAGATGCACTGAAGTAGAGAGGCAGGCAGGGGCCGGATCTCACAGGACACCACAGGGGTGTCTTTACTCTGTGTGAGGAATCCTTTGGAGGGTTTTAGGACGAGGGCCACGCCATGCTCCTATTTGAATGTTTAAAGATCACTGTGGCTGCCGTGTGGAAAGTAGAATGGAGGGCAAGGGCAGTGGTCCAGGCGAGAGGTGATGGTGGCTTGGACTAGGGTGGTGGCCTCGGAGCTGGAGAGAACAGGATGGATTCCACAGGTTTTGGAGAGAGAGACAACGTGGTTTGGGAGGAAGAGGGAGGCATTAAGGATTTCTACTGTATTAATACAGGGAGATCACTGCCATCCCAGGAGGAGGTCCCACTGCCTGGGGATGGCGTAAACAGGTAACTCCTGGGCTGAGCTTTAAAGACTGTGGGAGTAGGCCAGGCAGCCGAGGGGAAAGGGGACACATTTCAGAGGAAAACTCTTTAGTCAGTTTTCTTCCCCAAGCACTTCCTCCCTAGCAAGGCTCTGGCTGGTTACAGGATGGGGCTGTTATCCATCCTAAAAGGAACACTATCCAAGCAGCAAGGCTGCTACCATGGGGGCTTGCCAACCCTCCCCCTTTCTACTCCACCTCCCGCACCCAGCACTGAAAAGTCCACCCTAGACAAGCTGTGATTGGGCCCCGGGATGTGGCTAAAAGCAGACTGGGTGGCTGGAAGTGCCCAGCAGTGGTGGGATTGTCTGCAGAAGGATGGAAAGCATGGAGTGCCAGCTGGTATAAGAAAAGGAAATTTCTAGTAGGCTGAGAAGGCAGCTGCTCCAAGGGATGCAAAAATCTAGGTGTGCAAAAATCAGAGTGTATATAAATCAGAGCCTCAACAGGTGGGAGAGACTACGGAGGAGAAACCACAGCTGTTGGCAGCCCACCATCACCTACACAGGTCCCCACGTTCCTCACTTCTGCCTAAAAGGTGGACAGAATTGCCTCCCCCCACCACCAGCCTTAACCCCTTTCTGAGGCTCCCTGTCGCCCACTCAAGGAAGTCCAGGTTCCTCAGCAGTCAGGCCCTCCATATCCAGGCCTCACAGCCCCCAACCCCCTCCCCAGAACCCTAATCTCCAGCTACCACACACACTCAGATCCCCAGATGTAACAGTGGTCCTCTGCCTGCAAAGTGACCACCATCCCAGGCTGGCAAAATCCTACTGTCCCCAAAGTCCAGATCAATAGTGACCCAATCCCAGGAGGACTTCCCTAATACCCTGCCAGCCCCAGCAACACTAGCCAGATGCTCCTTACCCCACCAATTATCCCAGGCAACATAACACCAAGTTTGCAAAACTGATAGCCTGTGGAGTGTTTTATTAATCTGTAGTAGCTTAAAATGTTTTAAAATAGTTGTCAACATTAAAAAACTGGGTGATTTCATATAAAATTCTAGTAGTATAGCTTCTCTTGAAAATTTTTGTCTTGCCACATTATTTTTTTATCGAGTACTTTATGGTTTCATCATTTTAATGTTTAAATCTCTTTTCTATAATAAATTTATTTTGGTATAATGAATGAAGGATTTTTCTCCTCACATAGCTAACCCAGTGCATTTTAGATACAAAAACCTCCAACAAATCCAATTTCTGGATCTCAATCTCATTGTCACAATCTCACTTTAAATAACACATTAGCTGTTTAAACCCTGAGACTCCATAGCTAGTGGGAAATCAAATTCCTCCTTTAGCTTCGGATAAAAAAACTTTAACCAGGCAGAAGTTTCCCAGGCTGAGTAGCTCTACTGTTCTGCCAACGCCTAAGGCTTCTGAGGATAGCAACTGAGTGGAGACAAGGTCACTTTGGCCAACACGATTGCAGCAAAGGAAGGGTGAGGCTGAAACCTCAGAATTGGTCGTCAGAATTGTATTTCACCACGGTCTCCACATAGGGTTAGACTATTTCAGCATGAAAGTCTGCCTTTGTCCCTTGTCTCACGGTGTAATGTGTGCCCTTGGCCCGCTTCTCAGAACTAGCCCTGGATGAGCTCATCTTTTCCCCGGGGGCTTCAATTAGCATGTTCCTGGAAATGACTCGAAATCCTCAACTCCAGTCTTCCTGCAATCACTGAAGTCCACAGCTGCACTTCAGCACCTACAAGTCATTTCTATGTGGATTATCTTACAGGCACCTTCACATATTGATTGCCACACTAGGAATAAAAATTTTCCTTGGGGCCACAGCGTTTTATTACAAAAATAGAATTAAAAACTTCAAAAACAAAATGATCCTTTCTAATTTAATGAAAAATTTTTTATTTTTCTTTTCTGCGTATGAGTTATATGCAACTTGAAAAGTAGTTCTTGTGGCTCCCAAGGTGAAGAGACGTGAGTTACACATGCTTCATGAGGCCCCGGACTCAAAACTAGTGTGAGTTAAATACAACTCACATGGCAGTTAATGTGTTACATGCAACACACCCTACTCCAAATTTCCTATCCCCCAAACTACTTCTCCTTTAGTTTCCAATCTCAATTATTTACACCAATATCCTTCTAGCCACTCAGTCTTGAAACCACTAACATCCTCCAAAATGTCTCCCAGATCCACTCTCCTTTCCCACTCCATTGCCTCTAGCCTAGTTAAGGCCCTTTTTGTCTCTGGCTTTGATTGCAATACACATCTAACATCTGTGTTCCCCAACCTCCTCCGACTCATCCCTCAAATTACCTCCAGGTGTCTGATGGTGTTACTCCCAGGTCAGAAGTCCTGAGAGGTTCCCCACGCCTACAGAATAAAGTTCCAACTCCATAAAATGGCGTTCAAGACTTTCTTATACTCACCTGGCAGGGGGGATACCATGATCATGAAGACTTTCCACTCTTTACCCCAATTTCCCTATCCCGTTATTACCATCCCCACACCTCCACTACTCACTCTATACTTGCATGTAACTCCATTTCACTTTTTCATGCTATTTCATCTACCTGGGATGCCTGTCAAACCCTGGCCATCCTTCACTGGAGTTCTGACCACCAGTCAGAATGAATCTCTTAACTTAGTCTCTAGACCTGTGCTGTCTACACTGTAGCTTCTAGTCTTCATGCATCTTCGTGCACGTGTTGCTACTGAGTGCATAAAATGTGGTTAGTCCAAATGGAAATGTGAAGTATAAAATGTTCATAAGATTTGAAAGCCTAGTACAAAAAAAATATATAAAGCATCTCATTTTCTATACTGATTATATGTTGAAATGATGCTTTGGAAATATTGAGTAAAAACACGTATTAATTTCACTTGTTTCTTTTTACCTCTTTAAGGTAGCCAGTAGGAGATATAAAATTACAAATGTGGCTTGTATTATATTTCTATAAGCCTTCAGTTATACCTTATGCCTTCATTTACGCAGTCAGCAAACAAGGCTCCTGACCTCAAGGAGCTTACATTCCAGCTGTGGTTTATGAATGTATACAAGTCTAGATGACTTTGCTTAATATAGAGCAAACCAACAACAAATGACCAACAGTACTAACCACATCCTTTGTACTTCTCCTCTTACTTTCAGGTTCTCCCAAAGATGACATCACATGTGGTAAATGAGATTGATAACATATTACGCAACAAGCCCTACAGCAAAAAGGACTACAGATCATAAGGCAATGCATGAGCCACAGAAGCTGCATGGTTAAATAGCGGCCTGCACCCAGTACAGAACAGTGTTACTAGCCAGTCTTTTGAATCACTTAGCAGCCTGCTGCTCAACCTCTAGTGTCCCTGGATTCTCTGAGGTATCTGCTGTTGCTACCACTGTGCACATCTGAAAACTCACAACCAAGAAAATCTGTTCTATTTTCTTACCTTGGACTGGAATCAGCTATTCTTGCATTGCTCTGTACACCTCATGCTTATGCAATGGAGAGAATATGGGGGGAAAGATGTATTACTTTAGGAATTTGGTAACTTAAAGGCTGTACAGATATATTTTTTCAAAAGAACAAAATCCACAGATGAATCTGAATGTGTAAGAAACAGAGTAAGATATCATCACTGAGAAATCTTGCTTGGGAGAATACGCAGAAACAATTTTACATTTTTTTCCTATCTTCACGAATTCACATTAGCAAGTTTTGTTTCACTTGTCATTCGACAAAACTAAAATTTCTAGGTATTTGCTTTATTACCTTTCAAATATTTACTGTTGCTTGGCCCCAAAATGGCCCTATACAATTTATCCAGTGTATCTATTAGGACTCCAATAATGTTAATCATTTACATATAAAGAGGGGAAAGGGATGAATATCCTAATCATGAACTAGAGACATTATGGCTAATTTATTAAAGGGAAGGTTACACTGCTATGGGAACTTAGCTTTGAATAAAATGCAATGTATCTGCAATTGTCTTTTTTTTTTTTACATTTTATTAAAACCTGCTTTATACGTTCAACTGCTTACAGGCATAACTTCTGCAAGTGTCAATATTTGAGCTTTAAAAATAAATATACACATGCTCAGTTTTGTAAGTAAACCTATAAAATACCTAGAAAGGCAAATGTTCAGTTTAATTAGCACTGGGACTTTACAATATAATGCTTAGTATTTCTGAGGAGTTATTAACACGAAAGCAAATCATAGGCTTTGTGAAAAATGGTATGTCACTACTCAGATTATGCTGGGTGAATTACCTTGCCCAGTAAAAAGCAAAATGTTAAAGAACTTCCTGATTCTATAATCATATTATATGCACTAAACCGTATGCATGAAAGTTCTTTGCATGGATTAAAGGGGCTTAGCCTTGTTGCACTCAGAATCTGAGGTATATCTAGCCCTGCCACTACTGGCTACTTACCCTCGTTACTATCCCACTTCAGAAAAATTGTGAGAACATACCATGTGTATTGATCTATCTGTAAAAAGGGAGAAAATATGCTTCTCTTTCTTTTTTGGGATGGGGATGGTCCTTTAGCTCTATTTGGACATCTGACGTTGTACAAAATTCTAATTTAATTTTCTGGTCAGCAGGTTCCCCATATAGAAATCACTTTGAGATTTACAGAAGAAATATGATATCATTTTAAAATTTTCTGTTACTATTTCTGTTACTATGTCCACAATGTATTTCAAGGTTAAGTTCTAATCTTAAAATGTTAGTGGGAAGTATCAAAAAATTCTTTTCGATTACTACTACCTGTATTCTATTAGGGAGTTTGGACTTTTTTGTCCAAGAGTATCAGATTCATCATGGAAATGGATCATTTCTTCAGTTGTTCATTGTGCACTCAAACCAGTGAACTACTATATGTATAAATGAGCTGAGGTGCTGTCTAATGGAAAATGCGAGTTAACTTATTTGCTTAGAGTAATAAAAACATTTTGTGCATTCAATTTCATAATAGCTTTTATCTGATCTTTCATTATAAAAGATGTATATTTTTTCATATATATAAAATATATACATACAAAATACATGAGGCCATAAAATGGGCAATAATCTAAATAAAAATTATGTTGGTAGCTAAGCTGCATTAAATAGCTAACAGAAATAGCAGTGATCAAAAGACTGAGACTCAGATTGCAATCCAAACTTTTGCTCTTGTTAATGGAGAATATGATTAGCTACTAAAGATATTTCTCATTGGGTTTTAGAATACTCCGCACTAAGGTTAAAGTTTCTCAAACTCCCTTTAAAAAAACCTGCAAGGCGGGGTGCGGTGGCTCATGCCTGTAATCCTAGCACTCTGGGAGGCCGAGGCCAGTGGATCGCTCAAGGTCAGGAGTTCGAGACCAGCCTGAGCAAGAGCGAGAGATCCCATCTCTACTAAAAAATAGAAAGAAATGATCTGGACAACTAAAAAAAACATACATATAGAAAAAATTAGCCGGGCATGGTGGCTCATGCCTGTAGTCCCAGCTACTCAGGAGGCTGAGGCAGAAGGATTGCCTGAGCCCAGGAGTTTGAGACCAGCCTGAGCAAGAGCGAGACATCCCATCTCTACTAAAAAATAGAAAGAAATGATCTGGACAACTAAAAAAAACATACATATAGAAAAAATTAGCCGGGCATGGTAGCTCATGCCTGTAGTCCCAGCTACTCAGGAGGCTGAGGCAGAAGGATTGCCTGAGCCCAGGAGTTTGAGGTTGCTGTGAGATAGGCTGATGCCACAGCACTCTACTCAGGGCAACAGAGTGAGACTCTGTCTCAAAAAAAAAAAAACCCTGCAAATCAAAACCAAATATAAATATTATTGCTTTGTTGTGGGAACATCCTGTTTTTTATGTGCAAATCATCTGCCACAGTGAATATGCTAGATAATACGTTTCATACTTACATCCTTAAGAAAAATTTCCATGTAGTCTCAGTGTGTCTTTCCTCCTCTGGAAAGAATTTCCCGGCAGAGAACATATCACTCTGAGGGGTAACCTGGGTAGCAGCCATCTCTATACTACAATCTCAGGTAGGAGAAATGCAATCTAGAAATCCTATGCCTGGCTTTCCATGGTAAGGACTGTCACTTCTTCATGAAGAGAGTGCCAACATCAAGAGGCAGAAGTCAGAGCTTGAAGGAACCTTAGCCATCTGCAAAGCTATCCCTCTTTGACAAATGAAGTGGGCTTGAATAGATGAAAAAACTTGCCCAAACTCACACTGCTAGTTAATGGCAGAACCCAAGTATTTTGTATTCCAGTCCGGTGCTCCTTTAAGGAAAGGGTTTTTCTTCTTTTTAAGCTTAAAAAGTTGATTGTGAGAATTTTTAAGTTAAAAAAGCTTAGGTATGAATCCAAATTAAGGAATCAGACAAGAAAAGTCAGAGAAGAGGTGCAATGAAAACTACTCATGAAGACCAAACGAGTAGTCTTTAACCATCTCCCTGAAAATCTACATCAACCACTCATAAGACCCTCCTAATCTTCAATTCTCACCTACTTGGGAGCCCAAGGAGGTGAGAGTAATCCCTTACAGCCCCAGTAGATATATCTGTAAATTAGTTTTCTCCATACACGTACACATGTATGTATCCTTCCTGTCTCCAGAACAGCAGTGACTGGCATACACACTGCAAATGAAGAAGCAGGGTGGGTGGGAAGGCACAGCAGGCCTTCTATTGAGGCCTATTGAATTTCTATTGAAATTCTATTGAGCTATCCCTATTCCACCAATAGACAGGCAGAGGCGTGATGTCTGCTCTTTAATGTAACTGCTCTATGCCTGTCAATGCCTCACAGACATTTGACCAACATTTACATGTGTGGGAAATTAAAATCATGGTTAATGTGACATAATGTAATAAAGATGATGTACTTATTCACATGATTCTTATAAAGAAGTCCACGGAAAATACGAATTTTCAAAAGCAAAGTTTAATCATACTTACTAAGCAAGACCTTTCACAAGAATTTTGAGTATAATTCAACCTGCATATTTCAGTTAACTTCAAAACTTGTTTCAAATTATCCTTTCCAGGTTGCAATAATACACCAAGTATGACAACCAGTGAATTTTTACTGGCTAAAAAGAATTTCAATCCAAGACTTTTATTAAGTTGTAAATGAGGAAATTAAAAACAGGTTAAAGGAAAATGTTGTAACACTAAGCTTCTACTTATCACGAGTGTAAAAAAAGGAATCTAATTGCCTTGAATCGCAATTACAACAGAATCTCTTCTTTACCGCAGTTGGGTATGAGGTCTCTTTAAGATAAAAATTCTACAGCAGATTTTTACTATTTAAATCAGACTGAACACATCATAATTCTATGTGCCACATAGCTGTTTTAGACTATGGGGAGAGTACAGGGGAAAAGGTTCTGCAATTCTTGAGAGTAAAGTACTGGTACAGTAAATCCTTAATGAAAACTATTGAACTGTGAGTATGCCTTATTATCTTATGCACAGAAATTTATCTAATAGTACAGAGTTAGAAAACCTTATCAGGATTAAAAACAAGAGTGCTCTAGGAAAAATTCAGGACAGAAAACAAATTTTGCTTATTC